GGGAAGTCATTTTCTCTGAATGCAATGTGAGGCAGCTAAAAGATCAACGGCATGTTCTTTCAACACGATGTTGGATGACAATGTTTGACCTTTACTGCTCGCTGAAATAGCCTCAAAAATCACCACAAAACAAAAAGGAAGATACAACACTATTTACGTGTGATGCGCATGCTCATGTCCATATTCAATTTCTGCGATATAAGTATTAAATTATTATTATTATTATTATTATTATTATCATTAAAGTTTTAGCATTTATCACAAAAAAAGTTTCAGTTCATGCCTGTAGAATTTACTAGTTGAATTCCCATACAAATCCTTGTAATTATGATAATATCTCAAGGTCGGTGACCTCGGAAGCTTGGGTAAGCTGTGGGACAATCTCTCGTCAGGGAGCATTTTTCGTATTCTTACTTTTTTAGTTTATTTTTACAGTTGAATACTGGGTGGAATTCTACTCACGAATGCCAGAAAATAAAGTGAAGCGATGCACCTTTGCCTCAACTGTTGAAAGAGAGAACGGCCGAGAAGTTGATAAAGTGCAGAAGAGCTGCGGTGATTACACAGCATCTACTGAAAATCTCAAGAGAGTAGACTTCAATGTGATTTCAGTTAAAAAGGAAGCCAGCAAGCCCTACCCTACAAGAGAGACACCTCTTACCGGTGATTTTGATGTAGAATTGGACAACACTCGAGAATCCACTGAGACACCATTTACAAAGTCAAGAACAGTCGAAGCAACATCAAGCCAAACATACTCTGTCGAGTCGGGAACTTCAAGCAGTTTTACCGTCGGGGCTTCTGTGAGTGCAGGGTTTGCGGCGCTTGGAGCTGAGTTTTCAGTTGAGCTTTCCACCGAGTACTCAACGTCAGGCTTCTACAACAGTGGATACCAGAAAACTTGTCAAGAAAAAATTACCACCGCTTTTCAGATTACGTCCACGGTGCCTGCCGGAGTCAAAACAGTCGCCCGCTTTTCCAAGCGCACCGAGCCCCTCACGTTAAAGTGGGGAGCCACTATCCATGCAGAAGGCGAGATCAAACTGAGTTATAGTTTTGTAAAGTTTGGTTATCTATTAAGGCGATACCCGCAGAATGTTACAATCTCTTTGACGCAGGTAGGTAGTGGTAGGACCTTGCCAGAAACCACTGAAGTAAAAGGAAATTGCTTCCTACTATATGAACGTGGAGATTTTGAAGCAAAATTAATGCCTTCATCCCACAAATCCTTTATTTTTGTTTCATTATTGTCAGTGTATAGCGGTATTTTTCAGAGTCGCCTCCTGGGGTTCAGTAAATAATTATTTGCAGTTTTGAGTGATTCCAAGGGAAAACAATTCACTTACTTCCCTAGCGACCAGTTATTCAGCGATTTACTTATACCGCACAATTGGGCCATAGGAAAGTTCAAACGTGGAAAAGCTTTCAAAAACTTTGAAAAACCACTTCATGAAACCTTATTAAGGTAGCTCTCAATCTGTTCCCACGAATTTCTGTTAAACTATGCAAAAAGTACTACTGTTTTAACTTGCTGATCACAATTCTTAATTTAAAAAATGGGGGTCACGAAGCTCATTTCTGAGTTATAATCACTCATAGCTTAAGTCTAGGGTGTTTTAACAGGTTATATTCTTGCTATGGCAACCTGTCGAGAAAGTTACCATAACGTATTTACCAATAGCATTTGTTTGTTGACATTGTTGTATAGTAGCAACTTATAAAAAGGGGTAGTATTTACCCATCAAAGCATAAGTCCTGGAAAGTGCTGGAAACTTTTCTGAGTCACTTTAATTGGGAACTAGCAATATTCTCAAACTTCCAAAGTTGAAGTGACTATTTTAATCCGTCCCAGGCAGCCTTATTTGAGATCTCGAATATTGATTGGATTATAAGACAACAACTAAAAAGATTGACTTTCTGGTAAAGAAAAGGACAACAGCTACGAGTTGTCGGCATCGAAATCCACCAGAACGAAAACCCCAGTCAAGTTCGACAGCGCACGAGCACCATTCATAACTTAGGCATGGAGCTTAAACTGCCCAATAATTTTCTAAAATGGCCCTACTCATAGCTAATCAGATTAGACAATATTGTTGTAATTATGATTATGATAATTATCGTCATTACCTAAACGTAGCTACAAACCAACATCTTTCACCTTTTCTTTTCTATTTTTTTTAGGCAATACCTTCTCGGCAAACAGTTTTTTACACCATGGGGACGGTAAGAGCAGAGGCCAGGGTTGTTATATCGGCGATGTTGGAGTCCTATGATGCGGAGGGAAACTTGATCGAATCAAAACCTGCGAACTCATCACAAGTCAGTGAAGTTCGAACCAGTCGACAAAGAGACCCTGGCCATCACCGTTCATTCCGAAAGATGAATCCCAAGCACAATAAAAACACACATCGTGGGAAACACTAAACATCTGAGATTTAGAGGAAATAAGGTTCAAATTCTGCGGCATCTTATTTGTCCCAGGCATTGGCTGTAGCATATTTTTAGGTTTATAGCTGCAAGTTCTTGTTTGCATGAAGATATCATAACTACGTTGAAAAACGTTCGCAGAGATAATAAAAAGACAAAAAAAATAAACAAGTGTTTTTTTTAACTGTGATATCATAACGTATTACACCTTTTCCCTTCATTAACAGAAAATAAATTGTCACTTTCATTTACAGACGTGCAATAACATGAAGGGGATTTCATTTTCGCGAAGAAATATTAGCAGTCCTTTGCTTCATTCGTGAGGAAAACGTGTGAAGTGAAGTTCAATAGCAGTTTGAAATTCTTATTTTCAAGTTGTGGATAGTCTATAACGTCTAAGAAAATCAATTCCACACATTGCAATGTAGTTTACATTTAGAGAATTTCTAAATGAAATTACCCCTTTTCCCCATCATTAACAGAAAATAAATTTTCATTTATATTTTAAAGAATTTCATTTTTGCGAATTTAAAGAAATGTTCATTTTAGTTGTTCGTTGCTTCATTAGAGGGGGAAAACGTGTGAAGTGCACATTCAGTAGCATTTTGGGATTTTCATTTTACGTCGAGGATAGTCTATAGCGTCTGAAGAAAATCAATAACGTGTATTGCAGCATCGTTTACATTTAGAAAATTTCATAATAATCGCTTTATTTCGCTGTTATTGTCATCGTCATTATGTGGATGCATACCTGTTTGGCGTTTTTCTTCGTTCAAAATCCACTAAAGCACGATGTTTTAACGACAAGTATCGTAAATGAAATTCCCTAATTGTAAACGATGTTGCAGTACGTTTTATTGAGTTTGGAAATACACTATTCTTGGCTTGTAACCACGTGACGAGGCGTCATGTTGGTCAATTGAGCGTTTTCGCATGACGTCACGGCGGCCATTTTGGTGTTCAAAAACAATAAATCGGCGGCCATGTTAGGTCCCGTCCACACGAAGACGATTGTAAACGCAAACGCTAGTAAACGCAAACTTTTTTATGTGTTTAGGCCTTCCGTCCACACGAAGACGATGAAAACGCTCACCGTAAACGCATAAATTCGAAAACGCTCTCCAAAGTGGATAAATTTGAAAACGCCGTTTATGCGTCTTCGTGTGGACGGCCGTAAACGTATATTTTCGTAAACGCTGTGAAAACGCTGACGTCAGATGTCAGCGCCAGTCTCTTTTATCGAGTGCGTTTCCAAGATGGCGTACACACGAGTGTTGAGCTGTGTCATGCTTGCGCTTATTTCAAGCATAATTGCGAGCATTCAATTGAATCATGCAATAATCGATATACAGGAAAACTACAAAAGAAGAAGACTAAACCTCTTAAGATTGTTATCCACAACTACAAGCACTTTTACTCGAGTAAAACGACTTAGATGCAGACGTGAGAGCAAAGAGAGAAGATTCTGGACCAGACCAGGTCGTACAAGCGCCTGGTGGAACAACTTTGCCGATCAAGTACATACATACATACATACATCAACTTTATTTATCCTCGGATTTTAGTGTAGCTTACATAGCTAGTATCTCCGATCCTAACTAATTTTAAAAGTTACAACATATATAATATAATATTAATTAATGTAGTATTAACTAAAACTGTGCACTAACAATTTGCGCTTAAATTCACCATAATCTACAGTCTTTCTAAAGTGATCAGGTAGAGAATTCCAGTACTTAACAGATGAATAGCTAAAGGAATTTAGACCATATGTGGTTGTAGACGGCTTAGGAAGTGATAAAATATTAGTACCCCGTAGGGAGTAAGCAGTAGATCTTAACTTGATCAGTTGTTTTAAATAGCACGGATATTTACCAAAATGGAGACATTTGAATATACAAATCATCATATTTTGTATCCTCCTGTTGGCTAAACCACACACACCAGCTTTGTCTAGAAGAGCACATAGTTCGAGTCCCAGTCCTTTAAAACAAATCTTAAAATACGTCTATTTAAGGTGTCCAGTTTGACAGAATCTTCTGAATTACAAAAGTGCCATATCATTGAACAGTAGTGAAAATGGGGTAAGATAAACGCTTTATAAAGGCGAAGCGTAATTTCGGATGAGATAAGTTTGCCAAATCTTTTGAAGACACTGAACTGATTATTTATTTTTTTGCATACAGAGGATATGTGATCCTTGAAATTAAGTTCATTGTCTAGAGATATTCCAAAAAGATCCAGGCATCTTGTGGTTAAAAAGGAGAAAGGGTAATCGGTTTTGCCAAGAACCATCCCTTGATGTTTAGCAGGGTTTGCTTTCATCCCATTGTCTTCGAACCATTTATTTGCTATTTGTACATCATGATTGATCCGCCGTTCCAAGGCCACTGGGTCTACATCAGATGAGTGCAGTTGGCAGTCATCGGCATAAGTGTTTAATTTTACAGACTTAATGTGAAAGATGAGGTCGTTGAGGAACATGTTGAAAAACATGGGCCCCAGGACGCTGCCTTGAGGCACGCCCCGCTTCACACTCATCCAATCCGAATAAGTATCACCAATTTTCACTCGCTGCCTTCTATCCGTCAAGTAGTCACCGATAAGGGCGCAGCTGGATTCGTGCAAGCCATACGCTTTCAGTTTTGCTAATAGCAAAGCATGAGGTATGGTGTCGAAATCCTTTGACAAATCCATTGATATAACCGCCACGATCTCCTTATTGTCTAGACTGCGCCTCCAGTCCTCAGTCAGCCTAAGTAAAGATGTCTCACAGCTATGGTGCCTCCTGTAGGCAGATATGTATTCAGACAATATGTTCTGGTAAAAGTCGCCCATTTGAGCTGAAAGTAGCCTCTCAAAAACGTTATTGAGCGCAGGTAATACGGTCACTGGTCGATAATTGCTTTTGTTTAGTTCATCGTCCTTTTTAAATAAAGGAGTAACTTGACCTAATTTCAAGCGCGACGGATACTGTCCTGTCCTAATCGAGTGATTCATTATTGCAGCTATAGGACCAGCAATCGCGTTGGAAGACTCTTTTAACAGTCGCGGTGGTATTCCGTCATAACCACAGGATTTACGGGAGTTGATTTTGAGTAACAAAGCTTCCACTTGGATTTTATTAGTATATTGAAAAGCAAAATTGTTTCTCGCAGCGATCTGCTCATTGTTATTAAAAATCGCCTGAATGCTAGGATGTGCATCAAACCCTTTTCCATAAATCTGTTCAGTTATCTCTGGCACGCCGTCCGCGATGTTCACGAAATAACTATTAAAAAGCTCCGCTATTTGTTTCTTGTCTGTTATTACGACATCGTGTTCTTTTAGTATTATGTCATTAGCTTGCGTACTTTTCTTTGAATGCAAAAATGGGCGGTATGTGTCCCAAAACTCCCTTGGGTTTTCCGACTCACTTTTCTTGTCAAAGAAAGTTTTAATAGCTTTACGTCTTAGAGAAGTGCAAATGTTCCTTTGTCTCTTGTACAATTCATAATTAGTATCAGTTCTTTCACGAATGAAGCAATTCCACAAACGGTTCTTCTGACGAATAGCTCTGCGCCATTGTTCATTCATAAAGGGAACTTGATTTCCCTTTATGCGGACCTGTTTCAAAGGTGCGTGCTTACAAAGAATGTCCTCATATAAACAATCAAACACGTAGAGCCTATCATCAACGTCGTCAAATATTTCAGCTACTTGGAAAGGAACATTATGCAAATCATGTAGAAAATGCTGTTTATCAAAATTCTTAAGGCTTCTAAATCGTATTTCCCGAGATCGTATTCTCGGTTCCGATGCTCTGAGAATGGCAAACACAAGAGAGTGATCACTTATTTTAACATGGACTACGCCCGATGACTGTATTTTCTTCACGCTGTCAGTGAGAAAAAGGTCCAGTAGGGTTTCTGATGTTCTAGTGATACGGGTGGCTTCATGTATTAAATTCTTCAAGTCGTAAATATCTAGTAGGTTTGCCATAACACAACCATCCCTTGGCGGCTTGTCTGGTAGTAACATACCCGAGTTAAAGTCACCTACCAAAAAGCAGTTACCAGGGAGTGTTGTGATCGCCTCCAGTATAGAGGATAGTTCAAATTTCCATAGCGATTGTGGGACAGACACAGATGTTGGAGGTCTATAGATACCGACAATGGTTACCCACTTTTTAGCTATCCTCACCTTCAGCACAATCGATTCAGTCTTGTACCGTTCACGCTCACATAATCGAAGATTGGGCAGGTCTTTAATTACTTTAAAGCAGAGATCTGCGCGGATATAACACAATAAACCACCGCCATGTATGTTTCTGTCAGCCCTACACATTCGATATCCGGCCACCATAAATTGACTATCTGGAAAACTGCAATCCAGTTTCGTTTCGGAAAGTACTAAAATGTCAAACTTTCCTTCTAATAGCCAATACTTGACCTCAAAGAATTTAAAACCTGCAATATGGTCCACATTAACATGTCCGATTTTAATGTTGGTCCGATGCGTTTTAATCAAGGCGTCATATTCACTCCATGTTTCATCGTCAGAACATGATCCAGCAGAACTGGTACTTGTACTGGAGTTCAAACTCGAGTCAGCAAAAGGTAATTGGCGAAGAACCTCCATACAAGCAGCGCAAGTGTGCGATGTATCACCAGACGACTGCAGAATTAGATATTGCTTAGGGGTCACACCGCCGCATCCAATGTGAGACCACATCGAGCAGCAATCGCATCTGGTTCCACGGTAATTGCTTGCAATTGTCCGATCACACTCCTTGCACTTTCTGCGAGAACTGTCATGGCGGACGGCTGACCTACAAGTCAAGGGTCCTGGATGCGGATAATTCAAAGTTATCGCGCGATAACTTAAGCAAAAAAAAATATTGTAATGTTCCTTACGGGCCACAGTATTATTCACAACATGAAAATGAAATTCCCAAAGCGTCATTGAATGTCTCACGTCACACCTTTTCCTCACTAATGAAACAACGAAAAAGTAAAATGAAAATTCCTTCACGAAAATACTGAGATTCCATACATGTTAATGACCGTTTGTAAATGGAAATAAAAATTTAGTTCTGTCAATGAAGGGCAAAGGTGTATCGCAAATTTTTAGGCTTATACCGCGCATAAGCCTATTTTTATTGTCATTATCATCGTGATTATGTTCGCATGATGTGTAATTTGCGACGGTGCTGCAGGAAGACTGAACTCCTGGTAAAGCCAATCTTCAGCAACGCGACAACGTTAACTGTAACATGTGGTCGCGAGTTTTGTACATGTACACTGTAATCCGTCCTCTCCCGGGCCTCTTCGGGCCAATCGAGTTCTCTCAGTAACGCGTCTACAAACGAGCGGTTAAAGATACTAGTAGCTAGTGTATATATACCTGCATGTTTCGTTTACATAAGCACGATATTATAACAACAAGTATTATGTAAACGAAATTCCCTAAATCTAAACGATGTTACCATACGTGTTATTCATTTTGGAAAGACGCTGTAAATTATTGACAACATGAAAATGAAATTCCCATGCAGATCGCTTTTGAATATCCCTTCACACCTTTTCCTCACTAATAAATCAACAAATTCGTTCACGAAAATGAAATTCAATTCATTTTATTGAATGTTTACGTTTGTTAAACAATTCCTGTTAATGAAGGAAAGAAGGTGTATTTGTTCATGTAATTTCATCAACTAAAAGCCGAGATCACGTTAAATTTCGATTCACCAGTGTTTTCTTGACAAATGCAAATGGTTTTCAAGGAATTTTTCAGGGTCATACCGTACAGATGAATGAGCCCCATCTATACTTACCTGGTGAATCAGGCATACGAATCCGCAACTTTTTGAATCCGCTCCCCAGAGTAGAAATTTTTGAATACGCTATGTATCCGGAATCGCGTGGACGCTAAATCAGGATTTATTATTCATTCAAAACTATTTCCCTGATTCTAATTGGCTAAAAGCACACGCATAATTCACCATAACCACCTACTGATGACCAAATTTGGAAGAATTTTGCGTTGAATGAACGTGCAGCTTTCTTGCAAGTTAATGCACCGTTAACCGAGAAGGCATGGGGACGAGGTTGAGTTGTTCTGGTTAATTGTGAAAACAATAATAGCGGACATTTCACTAGTTTCAAGAGTAAGAACGAGGGGAAATAATGGCTAAAAACATGGCAAGAACAGCAAGAAGACAACTCGAAGGGCGACATCTGCTATTTGGAGAATATTTGCGGAGCTGAAAAAACCCTAAACGTGCACCATCGAACATGAACTTAACATCGGTGAAGCATGTTTTAGCCATGTTTTTAAACTAGGAACTATTTTGAATAAATAATAAAACAATTATTGAATCAGGCTTTCGTATCATATGAAGAATTAGGGAGATCTCGGAAGGTGTTATCTTCTCCATAATGTATCGGTCAAATCGAAGCTTCAACATGAAACCCCCCCCATACCCCAGGCATTTGACACCTTTGCCGTCCCGGGGAGGAGGGAATTTGATTATCAGAGTCTTCCCGATCCAAGGGGTGGGGAATTTGATCCCCATGCTTTAGGGGTGGGGAATTTGAACTGCACCCTCGATTTCATGTAAAATCTTTGGCGTGGCGAGCTATCATGCGGGACGCGGTGTTAGAGGAATTTCGTGGAAAAGATTGTGCCTTTATGGCCAATTGGTTACGAGGAAAGGGCTTAAACAAGCTGTGTGCCGTATTTGAAGTATTTAAATTATAAAATTTTAAATACTGGATTCAGGCTTGAATGTCTGAATGTAGTTTATTGTTGTGTTTACAATGAAATACAACACCTATACCGGCGATTCAATACAACAACATAAAATAAAATAAAAAGCTCAGGACAACTACTTTGACCTACTGCAAGTATGTTAATTTATTAGGAGAGCGATGATGCATGTCAGTGAAATGGTCATGATGTAGTAATCTCAATAGGTGGGATCTTTTTTATCGAACGCTTTGTATGTTGCATGACGAAGAAAAGCTGAGCATTCAGTGACCTCACAGTAGCGATTTCCTCCACTTTGCACGAGACTTTTGTTCGTAGTAAATACGCTAATAGTGTTTCTCAGTTTTTGTTATATTTATAAAGATTTTTTTCGACAACTGAAGGCGTTTCCGCCGTCCTTCTGTCATTTTTGTGCCTGTGAAATGTCCCCGGGGTGGGGGCATTTGATCACCTGAATGGACCCTAGTGTGGGGCATTTGAACGGCATTTTGGCCCGGGTAGGAGGGAATTTGAACAAAAATTTTCAAAAAAGTCAAATTCCCGGGGTTTGCCTGGGGGGGCATGTTGAAGCTTCGATTTGACCGATACATAATTCTTCACAAGATACTCAGCCTCATGCATTAATTGTTAAATATTTTTATGAACACTGTTTTCAAGATTGCAACCTCGACGCATGCTCTGTAGCCAATATTCCTAGAGGAGTCCTGGGTACTAGAGTAAATCCGGATAGGAGTCGGATACGTGTGGACGTGGAAATTTTTTACTCCGGAAAGAAAAAGTTGCGGATTCAAAAATACCCGAACACGTTTGGACGGGGCCTTAATCAGAAATTAAGAGTTACACTGATTAAGGTCAGAAAGTCCTGTTTCCTCAGAATCAAGCATCAGAAGCATTTACTGTCAGTATTTATTTTTTTCTTTACTTGTCTAGTTGATTCCGATTCTTATAGATGTTATTGTTGCTGCTGTTGATTAAATAGATGAGATATTTTGAAGACATCTCTCTTGTTAATAGTCCAAAAAATCAATAAAATTACACTTTTCCGTTGCTAGACATTAAGTTTGTTAATATAAAGTGATGAGCTAGCGTCCTTAGACACCCAGATTTTACAAATACAACGGGGGTGGGGGGAAGGGGGGTGATGACGGTGAGCAGATATGCAAACCGACGTGATCACAAATGACACAGCCGTGAATTGAGCAGCGGAAGTCGCATTTAGTCCTTCCCCCCGTGTCTTCGCGATTTCATTGGACGTTGTCTGCTGAAAGTCCACCTCAGGACAACCTGTCTTTCTGGTGGGTCAATAAAAACAGTCTGTTTACTCATCCTGTATTTGATCAATAAACCTATTTTACTCCTTTACACATAGCAAACTTCACAGCCCAGATTCGTAAAGAAGGTTGTCTCTTCTTGAAAACTACGTGGTGTTGATATGACTTCTTTTCGAAGTGATATTGAAGGTTCCGTTCTACTCCAACATCAGTATGATCTCTATGTAGCTGTGAATAACTATGATGAAGTCTTACGATCACTACTGGACAAGCAAGCTCCTGTGAAAGAACGAGTTGTCACTGTCCGTCCATCGGCGCCCTGGCATACAGCTGAAGTCACTGCTGAGAAGGAGAAACGAAGACAACTTGAACGTAAATGGCGAGCATCGAGACTACCTGCTGACCGCGAGCAGTATGTTCACCAAAGTAACGTTGTGATTAATTTGATCAAGTCTCGTAAGTCAGAGCACTATTCGTTTATTATTAAAGAAAACTCTGGTAATCAAAACGTTTTGTTCAAAACTGTTCAAAAGCTACTTCAAAAGCCAACCGTTAACTACTATCCACCCTCCGAAAACGACCGTATGCTAGCTGATGAATTTGCTACCTTCTTTTTACTATTAAGACTGATACACTACATAAAGATCTCCTTGTTAAAAAGAAGGCTCTTATTGATTCGGCCGAATGTGTTACTGATGAGGTACTCACTATATCTTCGACTAAATTTTCAACTTTTACTGAGATGGAACTTGATGACATCAGGAAACTGGCTGCAACACTGTTCTCGAAGTCCCGTGTCTTGGATCCATTACCATCTTCTATCTTCAAACAATGTACAAACCTATTGCTGCCTACTATTTCTAACATCGTCAACCTCTCTCTTCGTGAAGGCTGCATGCCTACGTGTTTGAAATCTGCAGTATTGTCACCTCTGCTCAAGAAACCTGATGCGAACTTTTTACAGTTCGAGAACTTTAGATCTATCTCGAATTTGAAAGCGCGATCGAAGATTATTGAGAAAAAAGTTGCTCTGCAGTTAAACAACTATCTGATGAACAATAACCTACATGAGAACTTTCAGTCAGCCTATAAAGTACATCATTCCACTGAAACTGTCAAGGTGAAGGTACATGATGATATTCTGCAAGCAATTGACGGCAACAGATCCGTTGTACTGCTTATGTTAGATTTATCGTGGCATTTGATACTGTGTCTCATGAAATACTACTGGATAGGCTGTCTCGATGTTATAGTATTACAGGGTCTGTACAAGAATAGTTCGCACCCTACCTGTCAGTCCGCACACAATTTGTTCAAATTGAATGTTCAAGATCTTCTTTACGAGAGCTTAATTGTGGTGTACCGCAAGGGTCTGTCCTTGGGCCTCTGTTATATGTTTTGTACTTCACCAGTGGCTGATATCTTAAAGAGTCACAATCTTACGTACCATCTCTATGCTGTCGACACTCAGTTCTATGTGTCATTTAAATTAGGAAGTGATGATCTTCTCTCATCAGCAAAATCTAGCATTTAATTATGTGTACAGGAAATCAACAATTGGATGATTCTTAATGGTCTTAAGCTAAATGAGGAAAAAACCGAGCAGCTGCTACTCAGCTCACGTTATCGGCCCAGTCCTTCATTGGAATTTGTTCGTGGTGGTGGTGAAACTATTCAACCATCCTCTTCTGTTCGTAATCTTGGAGTGATACTCGATCCCAGTGCTGATATGGAAGACCACATTAAAAAGATATGCAAGACATGTCATTTCCATTTAACTAATATTAGTAAGATACGAACATATTTGGATCGTGAGTCTACTAAAGCAATACATGCATCAGGCGTTCTGGACTTCCTGTTGGATCGCACGGCATTGTGGGTAGGCGGGCTCAGAAAAGTGGGCATCAACTTGCAGCTTCGCCATATTCTGCCATATTGGATTACACGTGCAGGAATATAGAAAATACAGTTGGACTGAGCTAAGTGGGCATCAAATCCTTGTTTGGTCGCCATCTCTGCTTGTTTGAAGTTGTTTCGCTTGATTTATTACCCTTTGTATTCACAATCGAATCGAAACGAGACTCACTTACAGAAACTCCAGTGACAAGGCCAAAACAGGTAAGGAGTCGTATTTCTGTTCTGTTTTGTTTTTATCTCCTAACTAAATAAATGGACAGAAGTCGGAGCAGAGGTGAAGCTCTGATAGTTGAATACGTTTTAACTTTTTATTTATTTTGTTATAATGTAAGTGTGATATGAGTCGTGAAGAGCTGCCTTTCGAGGTTATCCAGACATGGAAACCTGAGCAACTGAAAGAGTTCTGTCGCAAGCAGGACTTGAAGGTTTCAGGAACCAAAGCTGAACTTGTAGCCCGCGTATTTGCCGCGGCAGAAATGGGCATTTCCATCAAGCCAACTGCTCTGGAACGAATTGCTGCTACCGAAAAAGAGAAGGCAAAATTACTCATAATGCCAAACGGGACCTCAGTTCCAGATCCTTTGACACTGAAGGATGGCTGGGTGAAGGAAAGCGAGAACATGGCTTCTTGGCCGCCGATATACCTGAGTGATATAACATTGTTTTTGATGAGTGATCACCCAGGGAAGGATGTTGACTTCCACAAACGCGTCCTAAATGAATACAAAGAAGGGAAGGCGTATCGTTTGTTTGACTCTGGCTGGTTGAAAGAGATATCATATCATAAAATCACGGATGACTCGGAATATTGCTTTTTAAAAGCAAAATGCACTCATTCCATGAAAATATCGGATACACCGCATTCTGCATGGATTTGTGCGAACAAGAATGATGGCTTTATAGTCAATGCCTACTGTACATGTGTTGCTGGGTTTGTATTACCAAGATAGATAAAAGTGGACATAAATTAGTATTAATTTGTAGGGTCAAACCCTATTTTTCATATCATTTCATAGTTTCATGTTACTGGTGTGATGGTTCTATATGGTGGTAGGGACTCAACCATGGAATTAAAAAGGGTACAAGCTCCTTGAAACTAAGAGAGAGTCATAAACCAACTAGTGGTCTATTACAAATCCTTTATTCTGATTGATTGATTGTGGTACATTTGTCATATAGCACATTCTGACTTGAGGTCTAATTATTAAATAATAGGGAGATGAATTTCACAAAACTAGGAGCAGGGCCATATTATTCTTGAGCCCCCCAACAGTGTTGAGGTTTTTAGATGCTACATGATTATTTTCATTCCCTTTTTTATAATTTCAGAATGAGCAGCTCTTGTATTCACATCACAGCATTGCTGTTTAGAGTTGAGGCTGCTAATAGAAGTGGAATGACCAACCCAGCTTGCACATCAAGACAATGTGTGTGGAATGTCCCATCAGAAAAGACAGTTATCAAGCCAACAAAGATTGCTGACATGAATTGGAAGTCATCAAAACTAAATAAAGGTAACTAAGTAACGGTAAGATATAGTAAACATAGGACATAGGAATCACTGCTATTGGAGAAATGCTAAAAAATAAATATGCTAAACTATTTTGCAAACAAGGCTGAACTTCATTCATGCAGCATCACGATACAGTGTCCCTGTAATATTGCCACAAAATGTAGCAACCTCTGAGCCTATGATTACCTCATGATTTGATCAGCTTTGTTTTTGTTTTCTTGAGAACCTACCAGAGCAACTGTAGACAGCAGGCATAGCCTATTTCAGCCGGTAGAAAAAAAGAGGGCTCTGGATGACAGTGAGAGAAGGAGAAGTTTCTACGAGAATTTAAAGGATACATTTCCAGACTCCTGTTTTGTGTTGATGGGTCAAGCTGAATGCACACCAGAGCCACTACAACCAATTATCTACTCCTTGAGAAAGTGACATACTTTCCAGTGATGAAATTGATGCTATGGAGGAAATAACTGTTGGTCCGACTGAAAATGAGGCTTGGCACCAGCAAAAGGAGGGCAGAATAACTGCCTCAAATGTTTACAGGGCATTGACTAGAGTAGAATCAGTGAGTCAAGCTGAATGCACACCAGAGCCACTGCAGGCAATATCTACTCCTAGAGAAAGTAACATAGTCTCCAGTGATGAAATTGATGCTATAGAGAAAATAACTGTTGGCCAGGCTGATAATGAGGCTTGGCACCAGCAAAGGGAGGGCAGAATAACTGCCTCAAACTTTTATAGAGTATTCACTCAAGTAGAATCAATGAAAGTCAATGAAGAAAATAGTGCCGATAAACTTGTTGATAGCTTATTGGGAAAAGTTAAACCACCTACACATTTACCAGCTCTTAAATATGGCAGAGATATGGAGCCCATTGCAGTTAAGGAATTCATCAAATACTTCAAAAAACACCACAAGGATGTTAGGTATAGAGAATGTGGTATCTTTATTGATAAAACTAAACATTACTTGGGAGCATCCCCAGACTTACTGATAGAGTGCTCTTGTTGTGGGGAAGCAGTAGTAGAGATCAAGAACCCTTTTAGCATTGCCAATGAAATTCCCTCAGCACATAATCTGTCATACTTATGTATGTGTAATGGACAAGTAGCTTTAAAGCAGCAGCATCAGTACTTTGCCCAGGTCCAGGGTGAGATGGCTATAACAAAGAGGCAATTGGGCTATTTCTTTGTATACACACAAAAGGGCTATCACTTGGAAACAATAAGATTTAATGCCACATACTGGCATAGGCTTGAAGAAAATCTAACCTGGTTTTATAGTAATTGTCTTTCACCAGCCCTGAAACTACTGCGAAAATAAATTGTTTAAAAAAATACCTAGAAAATGGATCTGACTGATTATATAAACAGGCAATCATATTTCCATGGAGCCTACACAATATAATTGAACAACTACATGTATTATTGTATTAGTCATTGCTTTATTTGATCCTTGATATCTAATGTCAAAAGTATAAAACATTCATCAAGTTGTTAATAAAAAAATTGCTTCCTACACTGAGTACACTGGTCTAAGACATCAACATAAATTTTGTATTACTGCGGTAGCCAGGGTTTTGTCAAAAGGGGCTCAAAGGGGCCCAAGGCTTAAAAGGGAGAGGCCCGAGCTTTTTGTGGACTTGATTGTCCCATATATTTACTATATATTACTTTTCAGAGAGGTGGGCCAGGCCCTTTAGTCCTCCCCCCTGGCTAAGCCCCTGTTTATGCATATTTGTGGTAATGTCATCCTACCAGTGCAAGGAAATCAGTTTCACTAAACCTGTGAACATACTATTGATATCTTGAATTGTGTTATTCCAGAAGAAGCAGAAAAAGCCCATGCCAGGAGCCTATCAAATGGAGCCTCCATCTCCCATACAAGCCCTTGGAGTCAACCCTTTCCCGAGTAGATTTTATAATTAGAACGGTTCCCAGGGGAGACTTCGCGCGCCGACGGTGGGAAGAGCCAATCACAACGACTAAATGACACTGCTATTGTACTTCATGAAACAGCAGGAAATCCGGTGCTGACAGGCCAAACAAAATCATAAGCTAGTGAAACGTGACTTTAGCGTTTTCATCCCTCAGAGATTTTCTCGTGAATTACACATTTGACTCTATATCTTGTGCCAAAAATAACGTGTTACTTGCAAAGAGGCTTGTACAAATTGCATAATGCAGCACAGACAATGATAATGTTATCAAGATTACCAATAAGAGAGATGGGCAGTTCGTTCTTGATTATACGGAATGTTTTCAGCCGCCTGATGGCCTGTTCTACAAAAATGCGTAGATTAGCTATTGTTTTAGTTTTCTGTACATCAGCTTTCGTGAACTGTTCTTGTCCACGTTTCCCTGGCGGAATAAAAAGGTCAGCTCTGTGAAGCAAAAGATCCTCTGCAATAGTGAATCCACGATCTGCCATTACTGCATCATATGGCTCAAGGATGTTGTAAAACTCTGATTCCCTTGTCAAATGGACATCTGAGGTGCGCCCACCCCATGCCTCGGAGATGAAGTTGAAGGCCCCATTTGGGGTGATTGAAACTAGGATTTTTGCAGTATTGTGGTGCTTATAATCTGACCACGTTGATGCTCTGATTACAGGGTTGCTTGGGGTCTCTATAAAAATTTCAGTGCAGTCTATTATATGGCGCACCTTGCAGTATCCTGGTTTTTTGAACTTCTTTGGCAGTGTTTTCTTAACAACTTCCATGCTAGGATTGTATATTAGGCATTTCAGTTCATTAGCCAAAATTTTGACCCATGAGTTGAAAATAGTTGATACGGTACTTCGTGAAATTCCAAATCTTTGTGCAAGGTCTGCATTGGTGGATCCCAAACGGAGTTTCATTAGTGTTAAAAGAAACTCGTCCTTTTGAGAAAGAGCCCGGTTTGGTCCAAATTTTTTTGGTGATTTCCTAAAGTTCCTGCCTTTTCTGGATGTTTTCTTAGGGCCACTCCAATATCTCACTTTTTTTATAGATCCTTTGACGGAGTCAAATAATTTGTGAAAGGCAGGCTTTGATGGGATACCAGTCAGTAAATTTACAGTCTGGTCATTTCTCAGATCTGAATGCTTCAATCCCTTATCCTGTTTGGCTACAAGTTGAACTTCCAGCAACTTCACTTTTTCACTTAGCTCCTGTATTTTCTCTGAAAGTTCCACGATATTTTTATCTTTTCGAATCTTTGTCTTGTCTGCTTTTCAAGCAACATGTGTTCATGCAAAAATTCGAATTTTCATTAATTTCATACCAGCCGTAGACATAGCAATGGTCATGAATTACGGATGCTCTGTCTATGTCAACACAATCATTGATAGAAGTAGAGGGCTCAGGGTCTTGGAGCTCAACATCATCACAAGCCAGGTTGTCAGCTGAGTGGTCAAGAACAGGTACTGGTATTTCATCGCTACATGTATCTAGCTTAGCTCGTTTTCTGGATCTTACTGCAAGAGAGTTATCCCGTGGCGTTGGTGGTGGGCGTTTGGAGGCTCTCGTTTTCTTGCTGTGACCAAGTTGCAAAGTTGGGTCTGGGTTTTCAGCCGTTGGTTCATCGTCAACGAAGTGTAGATTACAAACTCTTGAATCCTTGTTAGGCATCCAAAGAGTCCCATTCAAACTGTTCCTGCTTATATTTTTTGCCCATTGTAATCGGCGTTCCGGGTTCTTCTTTTCTGTCGGGAACGGGAATAATTTGAAGGGTGGCTGGCAGTCACACATGCTTGAACCATTGTTACAACCATGAAGCTCACAGGTCGTAGCTGCCCACTTCCCAAGCCTCTGTCCACTGTTGGGACAGCCTAGGACCACACAATTTCTGTGGCCGAATCCCATGGACAAAGTTAATCTACATTTAAACAAAAGAAATACGACATAAGTCTGAGTATAAAATAAGCAAAAATCATACTCGTACCATCTCAAATCGACTACACTCTGCAGCCTAAAATCGTTAGAATGACGTTGCCAAGAGGTAATGAAACAATAGCTTACCTTTAAAATACCTTTTATTTGGTTCTTCTTATAAATTCCTGCTCGTGTAATTCGATGTAATTCCACTCGATGTAATCCAATATGGCGAAGCTGCAAGTTGATGCCACTTTTCTGAGCCCGCCTACCCACAATGCCGTGCGATCCAACAGGAAGTCCAGAACTCCTGATGCATGTATTATTCATGCTTTTGTGACTACCAACTTGGATTACTGTAATGCGATTCTATATGGACTACCTAAAGTTCTCTTAAACCGCTTACAGCTAGTCCAGAGTAGAGCGGCGCGCATCGTGACTTTGACCAGGAAGTATGAACATAAAACACCCAGCTTAATAGACTGACATTGGTTGCCTGTTGTCTTCAATACCGTATTATTTATAAAATCTTATTGTTAGTATATAAGGCTATCAACGGACTTTCACCAAGTTATATATCCAATTTGCTCAGTTTTTTGTAGCAGCTCCTACCCTTTGCGTTCTTGCTTGAATAAGTTACTTCAAGTCCCGAGATCTAAGTTAAAGTCTTATGGTGATCGAAGATTTTCTATCACGGGACCTAAACTAAGGAATAGCTTACCCGCATCTTTAAGAAATGCCGATTCCTTGAATTCTTTCAAAAAACACTTAAAGACATATTTATTTCACCAAGATTTTTAGTTAATTTTCATACTTATATGTAATTGTAGGAGTTTTCAGAGTTTTAATACATTTTTGTAAAGCGCCTAGAACAGTTAATGGATATAAACGCTACAAAAATAAAGTTTACTATTATTATTATTGTCATTATCATTATTCGTTATCCTGGAATCTCTTTCTTTCGGTATCCCGTATACCGTTAATTTTTTTCAATATTCTGTATCCCCCCCCCTTTTTTTGGTTCATTCAAATATTTCGCCCTACATTTATGGATTTGGTCTGACGAGGGAATGAAGCGAAAAAGTTTTTTAGGGACTGGTCATAAATTACAAAGTGTGGCGGGGGCGGGGGGGAGGGGAGAAGTGAAATGGGAAAATCATTATTAGGAATTGTAGTTTGATGGGATCCACCGTAATACTTTTTGGAGAATAATGCATAACCCACGCACACTTTTAGGTAAAAAAGTGAAATGACCCATCCCTAGTAAATTTCAAAAGCCTATCCCCCTCCTCCCCCAAAAAATTCGTTACCCTTCCCTAATGCAGTAGGATGCTATGCATAAATTTGTCAGAGTATGATACAAACATACACTACGGTATTTTATGTGACCTTTTAAGTTATAGGCAATGATATGATGTATAATACACCTCAGTTTGAGTAGTAGTCAGTCCGAGTCTCCAAAAAAATGCCTTGATCGGTAGGTTGTTGCATGTCTCACAGTCTTGTCTTTTAAGGTGTGGTGTCTGCCCTTCCCTTTCTTCGTCTGTCTGCTTATTCTCACTACTGGGATGGCCAATTCTTGCAGAACTACATCATAGTTTTCATCTCTACTTTTAGAAACAAGCTCATTGTCATCAGCATCGTCGTGCTTGCTTCCTTATCCATCGTCTCTACCTCCTCCCCTTCCTCTTTGCCTATCTCATCGTCTGCTTTAACTAACGCCCAGCATTTCCGGACCTGAACAATTTCTGTAATAATTATAGAAAGCTATTGTCTCACTCCAGAGCTGAACGTAGCTACGGCACTAGAAACACAAGAACAGGTAAACAAAACTGCTTAAAACTACGGTAGACACAAATCTCGTCCTCCTTGGTCTGTTTCGCATTTATCTTCAGCTATCTTTCGGTCACTTGTTAACATTTATTCGTTGTATCGGGCGTATGGAGGAATATTTTACGTTTGCGTTTCTGGATTGTGTTCGTTATAACGAGGATTTCGTTAGATCGAGGTTCATAATATCGAGGTTCTGTACCATATATTTTATTGTAATTTTGGCCGGGCTGAAGGAAATCGTTCGTTATATCTAAGTTCGTTATATGAAGGTTCGTTAAATGGAGGTTCCACTGTGATAGGATTAAAAGAGCGTATCAAAAGTGCCCTTTCCTAAACCAAATATATGCGCAACTCCAGGGAATGTACCCAGCAATAACAGGCTCAAACATCCCGAAAGAGGAGACAGAAAGACCGTGAACAAGGCAAAAGCAAAAATGTGGCAATCAATTCAAGTGGGGCTGTGGAAACAAAGCCGTTACCTCGAACCTCAGCTCTCCTGGTATATCAAGCCTCAAAAAAGTGATACAAAGTGGCTCAAAATGTTGATACAGTGAAAGCTCGATATTACAAAGGCCCAAGGGCCTAAAATATGTCCGCTATAAAGATTTTTCGTTATATCGAGGTTCTTTTCCATGTATTGTACTATTTCGGGGGCGAAATATACAGTTTGTTATACCTAGGTCTTCGTTATTTAGAGGTTCGTTAAATCGAGGTTCCACTGTATAGAGAAAGATGTTTACCAGCAGCGCTTTTTCTTTAATCATCAACTCTGATGGAGGTGATGAAGAAATGAAATGGGTAAAAATGACAAGGCTGATGATGTCCTGTGTTCGTAAAGACAGTGACCCTAGATGAAAAATACTGTTCGAAGTATTGTTTGTGCATTTTTATCATTGTATGAGATTTAGATTATTTTTATTTCCTGAAATGATTTGGAAAAATAATGACTGTGCATTTACCAATTGTCAGTATTTGTATTGTTGATAAACCTAGAGAATCATACCTGTTCACTCTGATGGATGTGATTGGCCGGACTTATTGGTAGAAGGTGTAGTTCCAGAAAATATCAGATCCATACCACACCCACGGAGAAAATACTGGCATGCCCTTAGCCAGCGGAGGGGTAATAGGGGCAGTTGCAAGGTTTGATATTTGAAGACACACTGTCGTTGGCAATGAGCATTGACACCCGTGACGAAAGTGAAATTCGCAAATACTACAAGAAGTTCCTCACTATTCAAGAATCCACCTTTTTCTCAGTAAGGTTGAAAAATGGAAGAAGTACTGTGAAAATGTTCCCTTTAAGAATTTGGGCCTGCAACTGCAAATTGAGCCTCTTCTTTCCAACCTTCAGATATTTCCAGCCACTCACAAGATCCTTACCATTTTTCTTACTATACTCGTGGGAAGTGTTTCTATGAACGCTCTTTTCCTGCTCTAAGGCGCTTCAAATAAATGCGGAACTGTTCTACAATAATTAAGGAACACTTGCGTGGCCTAGGGATGCTCCTCATTTATTGTGGGCCAGATTCAGGGGCGGATCCAGGATTTTTCTTGGGAGGGAGTGCACCACTAAGAAATGGCGTAAATGACGTAAACAAACTTTAAAAGCGAATACGAAGAAGAAGGCTTTTGACAAGGCAATAACATATAATGTCAACTGCTGAGAATACATATCAAACGATACAGCAGATTTTGTATAACTGTGAAGCAGACTGCACAGAGTCAATGCAATGCTGTCTTTCTTTGAGAGATCTTGTTGTCAGCAGAACCACCAGAATCTGGAACACGTCAGCAAATGATCTTCAACTTTCATGCAACCTTTAGATCAGTCAATTCAAATCCATGATGCACAAGTATTACGTGGATGCCTATTGAACATAACTACGACCCAGAGCTCCCACGATTCTGGAAAACCATCTGTCCGTCATGTAACGTTCTACGTAACGTGTCTGTCCGTCTTCGTTGTTGTTTTTAATTGTCATATGTAGCTTTACTGTTTCTTACGTATCTTTTAAGCTCTGGGACAACCGTAATTGGCTCACCGCTGTTGTGGCACCCCTGCCTAATTAAGCATTTACTAGAAATACGTTTTCGCAAAAATCTCTCGAAGCTAACAGGGTCAGCAGTGAGAATAAACAGTAAAAAGCCAAAGGGTAAAAAAGACGATGAAAGAGAAAAAAACTTGAAGTTCCCACGCCAGGATTTGAACCTGCATCCCATCTTCCTCCAGCGAAAAAAGTGCAGCCTCTAACCACTGGGCCATGCGACCGCTGCGTCGAATTTCTTTTGAAACGTAATAGTGTTGAAGTATCTTTCTCTGCTATTCACACTGTTTGAACCTATGTTGCTGAATTTATCATGAATTCAAAGATACATTTGAGGAAAAATAGCTAAAACGTGTATTTCAAAACCATTTCGCATTATCTCCGTGTTTATTCACTCTCAGGCTTTATATAGGCCGCTCGATTAACGGACTGGTCTTCTTCGTCGCTGCTTTTGCTGAAGTTCAGGTCACCGTTCTTTCGGTGTTAAACCTTCCACGGCAAGGATTTTCAGTCACTTGCCCAATCGGGCACTGTTGTGTTTGCAGCCCACGGTTATTTTCCTCAGAAATATTTTGCGATTTGCCAACGTACAAGAAACAGAGGATAAATAAAATGAGCCCAAGTCGTTGCACGAGTTGCCTGGAAACCCAAAATGCACGCTGACGTCATGTTGAATGGCGTCTTTAGGATTTGTTTATAGCTTGTTGCTAGGCAACTGCGGATACCAAACCGATAGAAAGATTTATGACCAAAGCGAAATTGCAGTTCGCTTGCGATCCTCGCGTGATTGCGCGCGACAAAATTATAAACTCGCTCCGCGAGAATTATTCATTGTTTCAGTAATAGGCGAAGCTAATAAAGTAAAAATAAGATAAAATGAAAGTTATGTG